TATATATATATATATATTTGTTTAAATTTAATTTTTTAATTTATATAATCACTTTTGTTTAATTTTAATATATAATAATAATCGAAAATTATATTTATAAATAATAAATAAATAATAAATTAAAATAAATTTAATTTCACAGACGAACATGCACGCATCATTTCCTTACGATGGCGGACGCAGTGGTGGTAGTGGCGGCGGAGGTGGCGGTGGTGGTGGAGGAGGCGGGGGAGGTGGTGGAGGTGGCGGAAGGGGTGTCGAATATGGTGCGGTACGTCGTCCTGATGCACTTCTACCACCCCCGGGCCTTGACCAAACCGACCTAGTTCTACACACAAGCCTCGTTGACGACCCCCAGGTGAGCGACGATGTACGTAATCGCAAGACATTTTTTCTCTATTACACCTTCCTGCGAATTCGTACTCTACAACTTTTTTTTTCCTCATCTCTTACCACGTTTTACATAAACCTCATTTCTATTAAAAAAAAATTAATCAAACCCACACCAAAAACCTCAGACCAATGATAAATAAAATTAATAATGCAACACATTCATTTTAAAAATAAATTAATTCATAGAAAAATAATTTATTTTTAATTTATACATATATATAATAAATTATAATATAATAAAATATATATATATACTATAATTTTATTGGTACACGTAGTTTTTTTTCTTTTTTTTAATTTATTTTCTCTTATATTTTTCTCTTCTTTTAACACGTTTTACGTAATCCTCGTTTTTAATAAAAAATAAATAAATTAACACCACACCAACATTTACTTTACGAGTGAATCAATTTAAATTTATAGAAAAATAATTCATTTCTAATTTATACATATATATATATATATATATATATATATGTACCATCCTATTATAACATTATTGGTGCACGTATTCTGATAATATTTGCTCAAAAAATAATTTAATTTGTCAGTACGAAATGTGGTTATTAACCCTTACCTTTTTCTTTTTTTTTTTTATTCTTTTTCTCCGTACATCTCTTTTTGTTTTTTTTTTTTTGCAAACGTGACGTATGAGAAGAAAAACTGAAAAAGTTTACCTTCGTTCTATGTTCTTTACGAGAAACACGTGACACCACACAAGTGTGCAAGCACACTTTTACTCAACTTGTCAAGATGACCTATAACTTGATTTTTGACAGATTTAAGATCGTGTACAACACGCGCTCGTAACTTTTTGAATTTATGATTATAAGTGAAAAACAGATAAAAAGAAAGGTGTGTGTGTGTACATAGTAGAAAGAGAAAGATAATATATAAACGAAATTTATCTGTAAAGTATTTTTTTCATTTTTATTTTGACTATCTCTTTGCTCTATTTCTTTGCAATTTTTTTTTTCCATTTGTTTGATCTTACAAGTAAATAATTTTTTGTTGACGAGTGTAAATTAATCATAATAAGAAGAGAACGTGTTTCTCCACATTGGTGCATATAACAAGTTGAAAAAGCTTTTTTGGGATACGAGTGAAAGTATTATTTTACTTTGTGGTTTTTCATAACACACATGTGGGGTTCTTTTAGCGTAGAATTCGTTGTTCGAACTTACGAATTACGGTTTATATGATTCGTTTTTCTTTATTTCTCACATTGTCAGATTATTTCTTCTCATTTGCTACAGATCTTACAAACACACACCCACATAGTAGACAGAAAGATCATTCTTTATATTATAATTTAATACAACTTTGTTTTATTTTATTTTATTTCATTACAGAACACGAACGTGGACGATGGAAGTTTTATGAACGACCTACCACTTCTAAAAAGTAAGTCATACATACATACATACTATCATACTTTCGGTGCTATTTAGGTGGCAAGTGTTGGTGAATCACCCTGTATATAAAACGGATATTATACATCAAAATAAATGAAATTACATTATTACATTTCGTAGTCCCACTTAAGACACCATGATCCACAAAATTTCTTTCGCAACATTAAATTTACGATAAATTCATTTAAATGAATGTAAAGTTAGTGCGAAAGAATAAGAAAAGAAAAAAAGAAAGGAAAAAGAAAGAAAGAAATAAAAAGATAGACGAGTCAGTCAGACGTAACAGTATTTCTACGTATAATTCCGATATAAAAGAGAGTCAATGATATATATATGCGGAAATATAAAGTGAGTAAAAACCGTTACGATGTCTTCTGTCGTATTTAATTAAAATTTATTTCTCTTGTTAGAATATTTGAAGAAACACAATGAGAGAACGGATATACATATATATATATATATATATGACGTAGGAAGCTATTTCGAAGTTTACAAGAAAAAAAAAAGCAAAAGATAGAAACTAAAATCTGATATTAAAAAATAAATATTAAAAAAAATAAATAACAACATTAAATTAGGTATATTAAAAATATTATAGGGTTTTGTATGGTAACTACGGTTATGTAACTTAATATTACTTTATTACATATTTATATTTTTATATAAATATATTGTATAATATTAATATTTTAATAATAAAATATTTTATATTTTGTATTTGTATATATATAAAATACTATATATTATTTAATTATTTATATAATATATTATTATAAATATTTTATACTTATTTATTATATATTATATATTTATTATTATAATATCAAAGCTTTAGTGATAATGATTTAAAAAATTCAGTGTGTATATGTAAATGAGTGACAACTATCCGTGTAACTTGTCACTTCAAATTTGCAACATAGTAAACGAAGATTGGATTAAACGAATAAACGAATGATCGAATGATTAAATGAACGAATGAGAATCTCGGCCAATGACATTGCTTTCTTACGAAAGTGTCACACACACGCGGACCTTTTCTATTCAATTGAGCGGTTCGATCGATCAATCGAACTTGATCACCGCCCTGTATTTTTATCACAGTGAACTATTAAGAACCAAAATTAATTAAACTCGCTTCCCTTTTTTTTTCTATTTTGACCATACTCGGAAATAAATCCTTCCCTCCCACCACCCGATTTGTCGATCGAATCGATTTCATGCGATTATCGGAATTTGTGGCTTTTTTGTTTAGGCTTACGTTAGAGTTCTATTTTCACGTCTATTTAACCAAAGAAAAATAAATATAAGGAAAAATAAAAACTTAGTTACGTAACGTGATACTATTATACGGATAGGCTCGTTAAGAAAAACTAATTTGGAAAAAGTTAACTGTTAACATCGAAATAAGGTGATGGTGGTTACATCGTTTTTCAATTTTTGCTCACTAAACACCATTATAGTGGCTTTCGTAGATGCCATCTTAAAGTACGACGCGCCACTATAGTAAAAAATTAAAATTAAAATATATTATACCTTAAAATATATTAAATATATTTTACCTAAATTATATAAAATAAATTATAAAAATTGAAATATACTATACCTAAAATAAATTAAATAAATGATAAAAATTTAAATATATTATATCTAAAATATATTACACCTAAAATATATACCTAATTTTAATATTAATTATTAAAATAAATTATCTAAGTTAAAGTATACATGTGAATCATTTAGAAAACTATCTAAACAACGAAATTGGAAACAAAAAACAAAACGTAATATTACCTAAAATAGTTAATATTTTATAGTTTATTTTATTTATTTTCTTTTTTTGTAACAAAAAGAATTCACACAAAAGAGCATGTATATTATCCTCAAAAGAAAAGAAAGAAAGAAAGAAATAATGTTACGAGGTGAGATAAACTTTCCTAAAATACAATCGTAGCGATTTTACACGCTCGTTGGCTTCTCAGATTCTCAATAGCTTTATAAAAGAAACGTCAAACTTGGGGAAAACGGAAGAACGATTCAGAAATATACCTACTTAGTACATGAACTTTTTGTATATAACTCTAACCCTCGACGTTATATATAGTTCTTTACTTTTTTACTTCAATGTGCAACACAATAGTAGAAAAGTACCCCTGGGTGTTAATAGAATAGCCGGTAAAAGAGAGAGAAACGTAAAAAGAGTAAGAGAGAGAGAGAGTGATGCGAGAAATAAAATAAAAAAAAAAAAGAAAGAGGAAGAGAAAAAGAGTACGTGCCCGCCGGGCGGATCGGATTTCATTCATTGTTATTGTAATTTTCTTGACGGGGTGTAGTTTTCGGGGCGTTACTCGCCCATAGGGGCGGCATTACCTACAGATGGCTGTTTGTTCAGAACGTCACCTAGGGTTATTATATGCCTCGTTACTCGTGCCCTCTCTTTACCAACTTATTTGGACACAGAGTAGTCCTTCTTCATTCTTCAATACTTCATTCTTCTCCATTCCTCTTCTTTTAGGTGTTTTACTTTATTTTCATTCGAAGAAACCTTTACCTATACTAACTTCTAAACTTTACTTTTAACACAAACTTTTTCTACTTGTAATTCTACTTATTCTTATTCTTCTTTTCGTATCTATCTCGAATCGTTTCTATTTTATTTTTTTATTTTCGTGATTCTCGTTAACCCATTCGAAACCAAAACATTTTTTGTAACACGATTCCCACACACAGAAGCCATTTCTTTATTTTTTTATTATATTGCCTTATTGTATTTTATTATATTATATTTATTATATTTATTATATTATTTATTTATTTTAAATAATAATTTTACAATGGCAAATTT